ATCAGTTGTTATTGCCTATTCAGGTTTCCTGAGTCTTCTTGATTAGGTCTTGGAAGATTGTATTTTTCTAGTAATTTGTCCATTTCTTCTAAGTTTCCCAGGTTGTTGACATATAGTTGTTCATGTTTTCCTATAATCCTTTGTATTTATGTAGTGTTAGTTGTTCCTTCACCTCTTTTGTTTCTGATTTTATTTGTTTGGGTCCTCTCTCTGTTTCTTGGTGATTCTGGCTAAAGGTTCATCATCTTGTTTATCTTTCCAAAAAACCAACTCATGGTTTCACTGATTTTTTTCTTTCATTTCTATGTCATTTATTTCCACTCTGATTTTTATTACTTTCTTCCTTCTACTTACTGTGGCTTTTCCTTGTTCTCTTTCTAATTTTTTAAGTTGCAGAGTTAGACAGTTTATTAGACATTTATCTTATTTCTTGAGGTAGGCCTATAATGCTCTGAACTTCCCTTTCAGGACCGCTTGCACTGTGTCTCATAGATTTTGTGTTGTTGTGTGTTCATTTTCATTAGTTTCCAGGAATTTTATGATTTCTTCCTTGATCTAACTGATAACGCATTCATTGTTTAGTAACATACTATTTACCCTCCATATCTTTGAATGTTTTTATTATAATTTACTTCTAGGTTCCCTGCCAATGTGATCCAAGGGGATGCTTGATATGATTTCAATCTTCTTGAACTTGTAGAGGCTTCATTTGTGTCCTAACATGTGGTCTATCTTTGAATATGTCCCATGTGTACTTGAAAAGAATGTATATTCTGCAGCTTTGGGATTAAATGTTCTGTAAATGTCAATTAAATGCATTTGATCTAGTGCAGTGGTTCTCAACCTTCCTAATGCCGTGACCCTTTAATACAGTTCCTAATGTTGTATGTGGGCATATCTGCTCATGGGCGGACCCGCCTGGAGAAGGATAGAGCAGCAGTGTCTCGGTTCCTAAGACCATCAGAAATATGTGTTTTCTGATGGTCTTAGACGACCCCTGTAAAAGGGTCGTTCGACCCACAAAGGGGTTGCAACCCACAGGTTGAGAACAGCTGATCTAGTATGTCAGTTAGGGTCGCTGTTTTCTTGTTGATTTTTTTGTCTAGAAGATCTACTCAGTGATGTCATTTCGGTTTTAACACCCCCTATTATGACTGTATTGCTGTTGATCTCTCCCTTGAAACCCTCCAGAGGTTTTTTATATATTTGGGTGCTCCTAAATTAGGTGCATATATGTTGACTAGGGTTATATCCTCTTGTATTGATCCCTTTAGTATTATTAAGTGGCCTTCATTGTCTCCTGTTATGGTCTTCATTTTGAAGTCTATTTTGCTGTCCCACCTTTTTATTATTTCCATTTGTATGGAAATTTCATTCTGTGTGAGTCTTTGTTCTGTTGTAAGTCTCTTGTAGACAGTACACACACACACACACACACACACACACACACACACACACACAGAGGAAAGGTCAGTGGCTCTTGCATATATATATGGGTCAGGTTTTCTTATCCAATCAGCTACCCTATGTTTTTTGTTTGGATCATTTAAGCCATTAACATTTAAGGTTATTATTGAGAGGTACTTATGTGTTGACATTTTTTTCTTCATGCCTGTGTTCTTCTCTATCTCTAGTCTTAAAACAGTCCTTTCAGCATTTCTTGCATTGTTGGTTTGTTAGTAATAAACTTCGTTAGCCTTTTTTCTTTTTGGTCTGCAAAGCTGTTTATTTCACCACCTTCAATTATGAATGATAGCCTTATTGGATAGACTAGGCAGAGTCAATCCCTTGCTTTTCATTACTTTGTATACTTCATGCAAATCCCTTCTGGCTTGCAGTGTTTCTATTGAGATATCAGCTGACAGTCTCATGGGAGATCTGTTGTAGATAACTTTCTGTCTCTTTCTTGCTGCCTTTAAAGTTGTCTTGAACATTTGCCATTTTAATTATGATGTTTGTAGGTGTGGGTCTTTTTGGATTCATCTTGACTAGAATTCTCTGTGTTTCATAGATTTGTGTAACTTTTTCCTTCACCAAATTAGGAAAGTTTTCTGTCATTATTTCTTCAAACAGGTTCTTTATTTCTTTCTCTGATTCTTTGCCTGGTACCCCTATGATGCAAATGATATGTTTTATGTTGTCCCAAACCTTTAGACTCTCCTCCTGCTTTTTAAAATTTTGTTTCCATTTGCTGCTCTAATTGGGTGTTTTCTCTACCTTGTCTTCTAACTTGCTGACTCAGTCCTCAGCTTTGTGTAATTTACTCATGATCCCTTCCAGAGTATTCTTTATTTGAGCTATGTCAGTATTCATTTCCAATTGATTCTTATTCATAGCTTTTACCTCTTTTTTCATGCTGATGTAATTTTCACTGAGTTCTTTTTTTAAAAAATATGTTTTTATTGATTTTTCAGAGAGACAGGGATAGAAACATTGATGTGAGAAACATCAATCAGCTGCCTCCTGCACTCCCCCCACCCACCAGGGATCAAGCCCACAACCCAGGCTTGCTCCAGACTGGAAACTGAACTGGGACCTCTCCGTCCATGGGATGATGATCAATTCAATGAGCCACACTGGTCAGGTTTCCACTGAGTTCTTTATAGTTCTCATTAAGTTGATTGTAGTTCTCACTAAGTTGTTTGAGCACCCTTAAAACCATTACTTTGAATTCTTTATCTGACAAATTGCTTGCTTCCATCTCATTTAGTTCCTTTTCTGGTGATTCCTCCTTTTCTTTCATTTGTGGGTTGTTCCTTTGTCTCACCATTTTAGCAGTCTGGTAGCTCAGGGACCAATGTGGTGCACCTGGTCACCTTGACAAGTTGGTGCATCCAGGGGCGTCTAGTCTTGGTGGGGCTGGATCTTAGATCCTGTCTGGCTGTTCAGGGGTGTTGGTGGCTCTTGGTGGCCGTGGTGGTGGGCCAGCAGCTCTCAGTGGTGGCGATGGCTCTCAGCAGCAGTGGTAGGAAAGGCCAGTGGCTCTTGCAATGGCAGGGCCTGGGGTCAGAGGCTCTGGCTGGTGTGAGGCTGTTGGGGCCAGAGGCTCTTGTCTGCTGTGGGGCCAGAAGGACTGATGGCTGGCAGCTCATGTCCATGTGTCTGTTGTGGGCACTGCTGGTATGTGCGAGTCTGGTCAGTGTGCTGCTGTGGTGCACAGGTCCCAGGGCAGGAGTGTAGTTGGGCTGCGCAGGTCCCACAGCAGTGGTGTGGCTGGGGTATGCAGGTCCCGCTGCAGCAGTGTTGTTACCATGCCGCAGCAACAATGCTGCTGCCATGCACACCTCCCATGGCCGCAATAACATTGCATTTTAAACAATCAGTGAACTCCAGAAAAAGACAATTACATAATTAATAAATGGAGGGCAACAAAAAGATGACATGAAAATGTGCCACATACTGCCCACCAACACTACAACTCAAAATGAATCTTTAGTGTATTCTTGCACAATATAAGAGTAAATAATATGTTTCCGGAACTTGGTCATTAAACCTTAAATTCAAATCCCAATTCCATTACTTCTGACTTGTGCACCCTTGGGAAAACCCATTCACCTCATTTTGCTTATCTATAAAATGGAGCTAAAAAAGGGACTGGATGATTCCACAGCCCATGTTCCTTACTGGTGCCCCAACTCCCGTCACCTTCATCCCCATCTCGCAGAGCTCCTCTTCTCAGCTTGATCCACACTCCAGACTATAGTCCTGCAGGCACAGCCCTGGACCCCATTCCCTCACCTGGCTAATGCCTATTGTGTCCTTCCTCTCTCCACCTAAAGCTCCACAAGGGGGGTCTGTCTTAGAGTTCTGAATGGCCGCCCCCAACAGGTCATCTGCTTATGCTATCTGGCTACTGATCAATCACTCTGCCCAAAGTACTCAGCAAAACTCACCACCAAACATTTAATCGGGAAATAAAACAGCTCCTACTCTGTTCTCACCCTACCTGAGTTTTCTGAAGCACTACCACTGCTGACCTTCCTCAGCTCCTTATCTGCCCTCTTCCTTTGACTTCCTAGAAATGACTCTTGATTCTTTTTCCATTTCCCTCACTTTGCTTTCCTGGTGAAATTCCATTTACTTCTTTGTCTTTAAGGATACTTTCTGCAAGAGTTCTGTTCTTGGACCTCCACACCCATTTTTTTTTTTTTAACTTTTAATTTTGAGACAATTAAAGATTCACACACACTTGTAAGAAATAATAGAAAAAGATCCCAAACACCCTTCACCCCAATAGTAACATCTTACGTAGCTATAGTACCATATCACAATCAGGAAACTGACATTGAAACAATTCATCAATATTCAGAGTTCACTAGTTTTACATACACTCATTTGTGCATGTGTGTGTGTGTGTGGGGGGGGGGTTCTATGCAATTTTATCAGATGTATGTATAGATGACACACCTACATTTTGACTCACATTCCAGAGATGAGCTCTTGTCATTCTGGGGAGAAGGGTGGTTGCGGAGGACATACTAAGTCCTGACAATACCTACATACTCTAAAATGGCTCCTCTGCTATGAACAGAGCTATCCTCAAACTGTGACATGTAAATTCCCATCTCCCTCTTCAGGATGCTCTCTTTGTTTGGAACACTTTACCAGCTCCTCTCAAAGTCTGTCCATCCCCCTAAGTCTGGCTTTAGCCCTTCTCCATGGGAAGCCCCTGTGGTGCTACCAGACCACAAATGAGTCTTTATATATTAATCCTGTCTCTCTCATTAGATGTAAAGCTCCTTGGGAATAGAAAATGAACTGTTTTTTTGTGGGTCCCATGGGTCTGAGACATATGGTTCTTAAATAATACAAAATTCAACTAAGGGGGGAAAAGAAAGAGAGAAAAGAGAAGAAATGAAGAAGACAGAATTTTTACAAAGAACTCCAGAAACCATGATTTCAACAATTAGAATTAAAATAAAAACACAATAAGCATAGATAAAACACTATAATCTTTCCTTTTTCTGCCCACAAAAGTTAATATTCTGAAAAAATCTCACCCTCTTCAACAGTGAGCAGGTTTCCCAGTTCTGCTGATGAATGATATTGGACTGGCTCAGAATTCATCACATTTGCCAGTGGCAAGAAGGGGTCATAATCTGAGGATGACAGGTCAGCCAGGGTCAGTGTGTAGTGACTCTGCTGGGTGTATGTGCTTGAGCCACAAACACAGCAATGCAGAACCTGTGAAAAACAGAAAGAAATGTGTGCCATGGATGCCACTAACCTTCTGTCCCCTGACAATCTGTCAAACTAAAATAGCACTTAGGAGGTAGAACTCCTACTCAGTAATACCTGAAAATATAAAATCCTTTCTATTTTAAAACATATTCTTGCTATTAGCAAGTTTATTTGTCCCTTTCACATCATTGCCAATAAATATATTCCAAAGTAAAAAAAAAAAAAGCAAAAGTAAAAAAGGGCCTATTTCGCCGTTCTGTGTGGTTTTACCTACCTAAGATCTGTTCCAGTCTACCAGATGCAACATAAGTAAGTAGAAGAAACTAAATTGGGAGACAAGGCCTAGCTATGGCATAAGCCAAAAGATAAACAACCACCACCCATGCTGGAGGGTAGAATGCAAGCAATAAGCAAGACTGTTAGCATTTCATAAGTGTTCATGAACCTGAATTAGTATAACTCACAACCCCAAGAACTGGAAGGGCTAATTTAATATAATTTTTAAAGTGTGATTAATGAAGTAAATTTAAAACAAATTTTTAAAGTATTCTTATCCTCACAAGATCATTTTCCTAAAAGCTTACTGGTTGTTTACCAATTGCTGTTGACTGAAGTTCCATAAGGCATGCAAAAGCAAATCATTTTGCATATGCCAAAATATACAAAATATGAGCAAATAACTACACTAAATTTTACTTTTTGATCATAAAATCAAAAGGCTGATTTTTATGAAAATCAATATAATACTCTAGAAACTAAGGAGACATCTTTGGGCTAAATATATTTGTATGAAGTCAATTCACTTTTATTTATTTAAAAATATTTTCATTGAATTTATTGGGATCACATTGGTTAATTAAACTACATAGGTTTCTAGTGTACAATTCTATAATACATTATCTGTACACTGTACTGTGTGTTCACTACCCAGAGTCTAGTATCCTTCTGTCAATTCACTTTTAGACGACTAACTTGGATTTGCCCACATGGCAGGGAGCCTTGTGGTTGGGCTGGTCATCTCCCTGTTTAGTTCCTTCTACTTGTGTTGCTTCTTGAAGACTGGAAGAGGACTTAGGGATATGCAATCTCTGTGCACAGCTAAAAAGTACCAAAACTGTAGTCGGCCGAGGATACTCATCTAAATATGTCATCTTCTAGCAGAAAAGCAGTATATAAAAATTATGGTAGCTTTCTTATTCATATAAAAAGCTTCTGTCATTGAGAGAATTAATTTCTATTAGTCAAATGCAACAAAGAAAGAAATAAAAATTAAAACCACAATGCAATACCACTGAACACTTTCCAGATAGCATAGTGTTAGTAGCTGCAACTCTCTGACAATGTTGGTGACACTGTAAATTAGCACAGCCACTCTGGAAAGTTATTTAGTGTTCACCATTAGAGCAAAATATATGTATTCCAACAATTTCACTCCAAGGTATACTCCTGGCAGAAATGCATATGTATGTGTACCAAAAAACATACTAGAATGTTCAAAGAACTTTCTTTTATGGTCCAAAGCTCTAAACTACCCAAATTTCCATCAACAGCAGAAGAGAAAATAAATCGTATTCTCACTGTGTAATACTAAATAACAATGAGAGTGAAACACCTACAACTATTCACAATATAATGAATTCCTCCAAAAAAATATTGTGTGGAGATGTCAGACACAAACGGACATCCTCTATGTTCCCATCCATATAAAGTTCGAAAACAGGCAAAACTAATCTATGCTGTGAGAGGATAGTGATCATCCCTGAATATGTGTGTGGGGGTTTTGACTAGGAGGAGGTGCAGAGGGGCTTCTGGGAGGTTAGGAATGTTCTGTTTCTAGACTTGGGATCTGGTTTCACAAGTGTGCTTACTTTGTGAAAATTCATCAAGCTCTCGCTTATGATTGATGCAATTGTTCAGATGCATTTATACTTCAATAGAGTTTCCTTTAAAAATACAGTGAAGAGTTATTCAACAAATTTGTGAATCATGTTAACTATGAGGTGACTTTTATATTGGTAAAGCAATTTTAAGAGACATCTTTTAAGAAAAGAGATGAATTTAAACGACTGTGGTTACTTTTAGTTGGTCAAGTCAGCCTCAAAAGGTTTAAAAACCACAAGGATGTCAACAGCATCTAATTGATCCTAAAATAGTTATTAAAATCTTTAACCTGTGAAAAATCCATTTTAAAATACACAATACTGTTTTAGTAAAACTTCAACCATGGTTAAGTGGTATTTTTTTAATTTAATAAATTTTAAAATAAAACAATAAAGTAATCAGGTAATGACTTGGAATATTTTCTAAAAAACTATTATTAAAGGTTACTAACAAAAAACAACAACAGAATTGTCCCTGCATAATAGTAATTACTGAATGGACAAACAAATGTTAAATAAATAAATAAATAAATAAATAAATAAATCCCTCAGAGGACAGGCTGAAAGGCCTATATAGAGGGATAGTATAAAGGGTCCAGAGCAAATATTACACCTAGTCATTAGTATGGGGTGAATTCAAATATTTTAAGCTCTATAAGAATGATGATACTACTTATTTTGATGTGATATATTTTATTAATTTATTTTTAAAAATCTTTTAAAGCAAAGAGATTACTGGGACCACTATACTGTTTTCTTCCTTTGAAAAACAGTTTGTCAAACTAAGGCTGTGGATATTACTACAATATAAACAGTTGTATTTTTTTAATTAAATAGATTTGGACCATGTTCCATGATAATTTGGGGATTCTGATCAAACTGCAGTTGATTAGAGATGATAGTCGTGTGAAAATACATGCATCTTTCACTTGGTAATCACTGCTTCTCCAGTTATCTGACCTGTTTTTCCTTCTTAAGTTATTCGTTTCTTTTACACGCCCCCCCCCCCCCGCCATTAACCCTTTCCAAAGGGCATTGATAAATAAGTAAATGTGTAAAATATATTTTGGTAATACAATGATGCTTAAGTCCATATTTCATATGCCCTTTAGGCCCATCTGGAGACTTACCCTGTAGATGTAATCCAGCAAAGGGGCTCTGGAAGAGTGCTGCTCCTCCAGGGCTGCAGTGGACACTGAGCGGAGAAGGGCATTCACCGGCAATGCCATGCACCAGTCCAAGAGGCAGAGTAACAAAGACACAATAAACTGGAAGAGGAAACAGGCCGAGTACCTTATACTTCAGTTTTTTAAACTTTAAGAAAGGTAATAACAAACAACAAAATTGTCCCTGCATAATAGTAATTATTCAATGGATACACCAATAAAAAAGGGATAAATGAATGAATAAGGTTTTCATGGGGGGGTTAATAGAGAAGGTATTATAGAGAAAATCCCTGCATGTAATACTATCTACCATTCTGTTTTACATTTTTAAAAACAGACTCTAGGGAAATTTAGTCAATGTGCCACCTACCTTCTTATCTGTTTCCACTGTGGAGTACTCTGCACTTGGTAAAAGAAAAGCAATTGTGGCCACAAGGATCTGTATAAAAGACAAATGCCCAATTAAACAGACCCTAGAAATCCTTCTCCTTTGTAGTCATATAATTCCTATCTTCAGTCTCCACACTTTTCACTAGAAGAAAAAAAATACTTTCAAGCACAGTTATGAAAATGCTACATTTGGTTTTCTGATAAATTATCCCAGATCTATACCTGTTATCCTGGTGTCACAGGTATTCTCTTTAGATGATATATGGTTGCCCTAAAACCCAATTTAATATTTTGCAGCCCCTTATATTCCTGTCTGCAGGTGTATTTCACTCTAGGTTACTTAGGGTCAAAAATCACTTGTGATTTTTGATGTATCTCTGAGAGAACAAAGTGATCTCACTGGTGAAATCTATCTAAGGCTGAGAAAAAAATAAATCAGTATCACTCTCCTTCTAATACCACATGGAAACAAACCAAATTTCCTTGAAGAGTTAACATTGGATGTGTAAAGAACGGGAATTTCTTAAAAAGCACAGCTAAAAACTAGCAGGAACGGGTATACTTTACCACTAGGTCCCTACAGGGGTGAGGGTACCTGCTCCTGTACAAGCAATCACCCCAAATGCAATCAACCTCCAGAACATTATCACTGAGATGATTCTTTCTGCCCCTCTGTCGCTTTCATCCATCTATTACCCTCACAGAGCGTATTATAGCAGTAATCTCATTACAGCAGGATAATCATGCTATGGCAGAAAGCATAATCTGGGCCTTTAGTCTGGGAGAAACTCCTGTTTTATGCAACAGTCCCCTACCACACACACAGAGGGCATCACAACCAGCTGCCTACTCCTTGTTGGCACCATCCAAATTACTCTGGATGAATGAAGTCCAATTTACAAAGGTCTCTTTATTGTGGTCGTGTCTGTCTTTCAAACTCCCCAAGCATAAGACTGCCCTGGAACACTGGTAGCTTCTTAATGCAGTGCCTGAAATCACAGCTAAGAACCAGTGCAATTCAATCTTAGAACGAACGACTCGTGGCAATTTAATAGTCAGCTCTCTAACAATTATTTATCTATAATCAATTAAATATCAAATATAATAAAAAGAAAATGCTTATACTTTAGCATTATAGGAACAATGCTTACTTCTGCAATTTTCAGAGGCAGGGAGGTTTCAAACGTCTGAAGCTTTTCCCAGTAGGAAACCAGCAACTGAAGAACATCACAAGCTGCCTGAGCCACGATCTTGTTAGGAAACTATGAAAGGAAACAAAACCGCAAACTATATAACCTCACTTAACATGTGCGTTATTCCTAAGGAAACACAAAAGTTATTTCTTTCTAGTTTCTTTTAGAGATACATTTCCTTGTTTTGCTTTTTTTCTTTCTATTGAATTTATTGGGGTGACACTGGTTAACAATTATAGAGGTTTCAGGTACACAACTTCACAACACATGTGTACACTGTATTATATGTTCATCACCCCAAGTCAAGTCTCCCGCCATCAACATGTATCCCCTCCTAATACCTTCCTCCACCTCCTCTCCTCCTCCCTCCCCTGGCAATTACCATACTGTTGTCTGTGTCCAGGAGATTTCCTTTTTTTTGCTCAATCCCTCCATCCCCTCACCCAGCCCTCCAACCTCACCATCCCAACAGCTGTCAGCCTGCTCTCTGTCTATGAGTCTGTCTCTATTTGCCTTGTTAGTTCATTTTGTTCATTAGATGCCACATTATGAGTGAAATCATATGGTATTTGTCTTTCTCTGACTGGCTTATTTCACTTAGTGTAATGTTCTCTAGGTCCATCCATGTTGCAAAGGGTAAGATTTCCTTTTTTTTTTTTTTTTTTTTTTTTTAACAGTCCAGTCGTATTCCATTGTGTAAATGTACCACAGCTTTTTTTATCCACTCCTCTACTAATGGACGCCTGGGCTGTTTCCAAATCTTGGTTATTGTGAATAAAGCTTCAATGAACATAGGGGTGCATATATTCTTTTCAATTAGTGTTTCAGGTTTCTTTGGATCTTTGTTTTGCTTTAAATTTGTGAAAAATGTATTTTATTACCAGATAGTTTATACATGAACACCATTCTATAACTGCCTCTTGTCTAGACTAGCTGTATTAATTTATATAACATTCTGTAAAAACAAGTGGCTATCATTTAATCATTTGGAAATTAAAACCATAAGGTATTTTTTATGTCATGTTATTCAGATCACATAAACCACAGTTTTTACTATTAGGAAATTAAAATGCAGTACATTATTGAGTATCCACTGTGTGCTGAACCTTTTATAAGACTCACTCATTTTAGCATTGAAAAATATTCATTTAACAGCTCTTTAAGCAGATGTTATCTTCATTTTACACATGGAGAAATGGATTGATCAAATGACTTTCTACTCTATGAAATTAAACTTAACCCACATGTGTAAAATAAAAAATATGAAAACTTTGGGATTATGAGAACATGATTCACAAGTCATTATATGTTTAATTACTTTGAGTATGTTTTTGAGTCTATGTGTGTCCAAAGTCCACTGGCTGCTTCCATTTCTTGTGAGATGGCAGGTCAAAGGGACAGCCCCTGCAAGGACCAATGGCTGAGGGTGCGTGAAAGGGAAGGTATCCTGGCCAGAACCTTGGGCTACACTGCTATTCATACTTCATTATCTAGAGCAGAAAGGTTTGTCACTGACTCTGTATCCCTGTCTGGGGAAACCTCTGGATATGTAGCTTAGTTATTTCCATACCAGGAGCTCCAAATCACATGAAGCAGATACTAGTTGACCTGGGTACCACACAACAAACACAGAAGAGCTAACATTTAGAACTTCAGTGACTAATGCAGAGGATAAGGTGATTAATTTTAATTCTACAGAATAAACAGTTACTGATTACTCCTGACAGGTGCAAGGTAGAGTATCTGCACTCAAGGGGCTCTTCACAGCCTCAGCCAGCCAACCAGGCCTCAGACGACCTGTTTCTCATGGGCCTCTTTTCATCCTTCAAACACTCTGGCTTGTTTATGCTCCAGGGCCTTTACATCTGCTTCTTGTTCGCCTGGGGCACTCCTTCTCCAGGTCTGCGTTCAGCTGATGCTGTCACATCTTTTAGATCATAGCACAGCCACCATACCCTTCCAAAGTAATGGCCCACCCTCTCCAGCTCTTCCGTTTCATCCTGTTTCAGTTATAGCTTCTTGGTGGCATTAAGGGCTGTCTGAGCTGATCTGTTTTGTTTGTCTGCTTGTTCTTTTATGTTTATTTGTCTGCATCTTGTTCACCATTGTATTCCTAATGCTTAGCACAGCCCTCTGAGGGGAAATGCATGGTGTGTTTGCAGTAATGATAGAACATTGGAGGGAGTAGAAAAACATGAGTGGGTGCTGGGTGTGCTTCTGCTGTGACACAGTGGAGTCATGGGGTAGAAACAAGGATGGCATGGATTTTACATCTAGAATCTGAACAGAGACAAGGGAACAATGATGAAACAAGAGCTATAACAGACAAGACAAAAAAAGGGCTATGGGCAGAGAGGGATGAGACTTGAGAAAAGGTTGGCAGAGAAGGCACTGTGGAGGGAGGGATGAGCTATGTCTGTAAGGATGCAGAGGGAGAGTTTCCTTTCAGGCAGGGGACAGTAGGGCACAGGCATTGAAGGCTACAACTGGGGTGGCATAACTGATACACAGAGTGCTGTGGGGAATGGTGGGGATGAAATAAATCATTCAGTCACTCACTCACCCATCTAGTACATATTCAGAGTACGGAGCATTTTCCAGCATTGAATTAAAAGTATAAAGCGTGACTGGCCGGTGTGGCTTAGTGGTTGAGGGTTGGCCCATGCACCAAGAGGTCACCAGTGAGGATACATGCCCAGGTTGTGGGCCTGATCTCCAGTGGGGGGCATGCAGGAGGCGGCCAATCGATGTTCCCGCTCTCTCTCCCTTCCTCTTTCTCTAAAATCAATAAAGGAAAAAAAAAAAAATGCATAAGGCACAAGATGTGCAGGACACATATAATTACTACTCTGAAGGACAGCCTCACAGAGCAGGCAGGGATCCATTTACATATATCCCCTAGGGCCATGCCCAGTACTCTAGTTTGTGGGTCATGTGGTCAGGCATGTGTGTGTGTGGACTGATCTCCTTGGCAACAGTATAGGCAGATCTTCAGAGTCCAGACCAGAGCCATGAGGACGGTGGTGCAGGAGGCTTCGTGGCAGAGGGAGTCAGCTATGTGAGGGATGGCTACAAGGCAGCATGTGGGACTGAGTGAAAGGCATTTAGGACTCTGTGACTGGAAATGGTGGTAGGAGAAGGAGGGCAGGAAAATCAATGAAAATTTTCTGCTATGGGGTAAAAATAAAACGCAGCAGGTGGGGCTGAGGGCGTGGGTCAGGTATGGTGGAACTCAGGTCAGGCTTCCTCTCACTCAGGCTGCCTAGGAAGCAAAGTCAGGCAGCTTACCTGAGCCCAAGCCGACACTGTCACTCTAGTACCCTTGGCCCAGGACCTGGATGAAACACTTAACTCTGTAAGTGCAGCTCCAGCTTAGAACCTCTATCTACCCCTGCCCCCCACAGGCTACCCCACCAGAAACAAACAACTAGCTGAGTGGGAGTCTCTACCTGGCTGCGTAGTGTACTGTTTTTAATTTCTGCTATGGCCGCAGGCTGATTTTCATTGATACCCCTTGGGGAGCATTTTCCTAGCCTTCACTGACCTGTGACCTTAGAAAGCAGGACAACCTTGCTAGGTATTCCCAAAGGGCATGGTTACAGAGCAGTGCCCAGAGTCCAAGAGCCATATGGAACTTATGAGGCAGGAAACACTTCCAAGTCTCATGCTTCCTGCTGCCTACATGGCAGGTCCAGGTCCTGGCTGCCACCCACCCCCAATTTCTCCTCCTGGTAGAGCTCTGAGCCTCCCTGAGGCTTCTCTTCAGAGTGGTTGCTACACACCTTGTTCCTAGTGATGATTCTTTCCCTTCTAGCTCTTGATTCCTTTAGATTTATGTGCTACCTTTAGTAAAACTCCAACTGGCACAAGGACACAGTCATCAGATGTAGGGAGAAAAGGAGGAAGAGAGAAAGAAAGGGAGTGAGGGAGCGAGGTAGATGTTCCAGGAATCCAAGAGTTTTCCTCCATTATTCATAGTTAAAAAGAGACTAATTTGGCTGATCCTGGCCCTCTGATTTCTCGTTTATTTCTGTAGTTTCTTTTATCTTAATTTTTATTGGATTAATTGGGATGACATTAGTTAATAAAATTATATAGGTTTCAGGTATACAATTCTGTAATACATCATCTGTATATTGTACTGTATTCACCACCCAAAGCCCAAAGCCCAGTCTCCTTCTGTCACCATTTATCCCCCTTTACCCTCTTCTATATCCCTCCACCCCTTCTATCCCTCTGGTAATCCCTTAACCATTTTTACCCAGTCCCCCAACCCCCTCCCATCTGGTAACCCTGTTTGTTCTCGGTATCTATGAATCTGTTTTTATTGTGTTCATTAGATTCCACAAATAAGTGAAATCATATTGTTTTTGTCTTTCTCTGGCTGGCTTATATCACTTAGCATAACACTCTCCAGGTCCACCATGCTGTCGCAAAAGCTAAGATTTTTTTCTTTTGTATGGCCATGTAGTGGGTTAAGGTACCACTACTTTTTATCGGCTCATCTCTGATGAGCATTTGGGCTGCTTCCAAATCTTGGCTATTGTAAGTAACACTGCATTGAATATAGGAGCGCACATATTCTTTCACATCAGTGTTTTGGGTTTCTTTGGATAAATTCCCAGAAGTAGAATTAATGGGTCACAATGCAGTTCCAATTTTAAGATCTGGTGGAAACTCCACCCTGTTTTTCACAGTGGCTGCAGCATCTGCATTCCCACCAACAGAGCATGAGAGTTCCCTTTTCTCAGCATCATCATCGCCTGCACTTGTTGTTGATGATGGTCATTCTGACAGGTGTAAGGTGATATCTCATTGTGGCTTTAATTTGTATATCTCTGATTAGTGACGGAGAGCATCCTTTCATGTCTGTTGGCCATCTGTATGTTTTCTTTGCAGAAGTGTCTATTCAGGTTCTTGGGCCATTTTTTTTTTTTTTTTTTTTTTGAGAGAGAGAGAGAAAAGAAAGTGAGATAGATAGAAACATTGATATGAGAGGGAAACATTGATCCGCTGCCTCCTGTATGCCCCCTACTGGGGATGGAGCCCACAACTCAGGCATGTGGCCT